CCTTCTTTCCCTGTGGCATTGTCCCCAGTGTCCCTCCTCCCCTGGTCTCACGTGATACTCTGTGTGTGCTTTAGAAATTGCACACGTGTCTGTACCCCTAGGTCAGAGGCAGCCCACACTTCCTGAGCAGGCCTTGCCTGTAGGCCAGGTCTTCAGAAGGGTGGTGCTCAAGTACGGGCTCCTGAGGGTGGCGCCCGGCTCCCTGCGGCCCTTCAAGGCCCAGCACAGCCTGTGCATCAAAGCAGCCCTGGGGGTTCTCTTGTGAGCATGAGAGTCCATCCTCCCTCCTTGCCATCCAGCCACAGAGCCTCTGGGACACGTCGGGGTCCTGGCTGAGCCTGGAGCATCCGTCCTGTGGTGAAGCAGGGCCTCAGCTGCTGCTGTCCCTTGGCTGGGTGGAGGAGAGGAGTGGGCCTGTTCTCCTCACCCCCGGGACCTCTGGAAGCCCCTGCTTGTGCCTCTAACAGGGGGACGCCCTTGGCTGTGCTGCCAGCACTCAGAGCCGTCTCAGCTCAGGCCCAGCTCCTCCCGCCCCAGCAGAGAGCCCGGCTCAAGCCGCTGTGAGCCGTGGAGACCACAAGACCCCATGGTGAGCACGCGGGGGGCCACTGGGCTTCTTTGCGTCCATGTCTAGTCTCGCAAATTAAGCAAACTGGACTAGTCAGTCATTTGGTAAGTTTTTCACTCATGAGTTTGTTTGTTTATTCATCCAAAGTCATATTCTGGAGCCAGGCGTACAAACAGCGGATGTGAGCTCTCCTGAAGAGGGAATGGGCATCTTCCGGGGCTGCACGGGAGAGACGCTTCTACGGAACCTGAGCGGGGGACTGGGCCAGCAGGGACCTTCCTGCGCAGAACGTGCAGCTTGTGCGGAAAAGCCGGCTTCACCCCAGGAGGACGCCTTGCTGACGTCACGCTCCTTCCACAGGCGGGTGGGCGAGGCCTGCCACATGGGGGCTTCCTTCCCGCGGCCGCTGCTGACCACGTCCCACAGCGTCAGCCAGCGAAGGTCTCGGGTGGCCCGCGTGCCTCGTCCTCTGACTTTCCCAGACGAGGCTGGGGCTGGGCTTCCGCGCCCACCAAGACGGGCTGTCTGGCGGGCGGCTCGGCTCTGCCACTTTACACGGTCCCGCTGGGACCGGACGCTCCGCCGGAAGGTGGGCAGCTGTCTCAGGAGTCAAGGGGCTTACAACCACAACTGCTGGACTCAGATGGCTAGCTCGGGGCGGGGGAGCTGGCAGACAAGCTCACTAAAATATGGGGTCCATTTCCAATCAAGATAAAGGGCCAGGGACATGACGTCTGGCCATTTAGGGTATAAAAGCCTATTTCAGAAAAGTAATTATAGGCTTGGGTTGGAATCTCAAACCCAAAGAATGGGAAACCAACTTACGACCAGGACGAAGCGGGGCCTAATTTGGCGCCACCTTCTGAGAACTTGGGTTTCCATTTCAGAAGGAGAACCTTCCCTCCACTGCTCCGTTAGGAAGCCAGGCGTCCGTGTGGGGTAGCAGGCTGCTGTTCCAGACGGGGGGAGGCTGTGCCCCGGCAGGGCAGAGGGCGTGTCCTGGGAGGGGAACGGAGGGACACCCCGAACCTCAGCCATGTCCCCTTCGCTGAGGTGGCAGGCCCGGGGGTGTCTGCTGGACACTCACCACTTGACTGGCTGTGGGCCCATCACCCACACCACACTGTCCGTCGCCTTAGCTGCACTCACGAACAAGCAACAGTGGAGGAAGAATTTCCCAAGGGTCTTCTCTGCGCTCACAGCCAAGCCCTGCTGGGCTCCGTGGGACCTGTCCTCTGGGAGGAGGTGAGGGGTCCCCACGCGCCTTCCCAGGGCCTGCCCAGAGCCCACCTGCAGTGGGGCACCTGCCATCTCCCGTGCAATCAGAAGACGGCTGAGTGAGGCTGGCAGGCCCTGACACTGGGCCTGTGCAGGGAAGGATCCTCTCGGCCTACAAGGGTCCCGGCCAGAGGTCACACTGGGACGGGGGAGAGGCACGTTCTTCCACAGTGAGAGGGGCAGGTGCAAGGTCAGAGGAGAAGATAAAGGCTGGGGGAGGGAGGGGGCACCGAGTTCCGCCGGTGACGCACTTCATGCCACCTTGGCTCTTCAGCGGCCAGTCTGGTCTTTTCAGACTGAAATCAAGTCCGTTCACACGTGGAAAGGGTCCAGCGGGTCAGTCACCTGACTTGATTTGTCAGATGAGAAGTGAGTTAGAGCTCTGATCGTCATCTGTCTCCGGAGCCTCCAGAAGGTGGGCAACCTGCACCCAACGGGGGCAGCAGGGGCCCCCAGAGCAAGGGAGGTGGTCTGACAACCCAAAAAGGCTTCACACTGGATTTGAGAGAAACAAATCAGAGTCTCAAATGTAAAAGGACTAATTATCAATAATAACAATCCGCATGTGTATCTGGATTCAGAGTCTGTCACGCACGTTAACAGGCATTACCTCTAAGAATGTGGCGGCTTCAGGTGGGACTTGTGCTGGGCAAGGTCAAGGCGCTCACTCAAGGCTGCCTGGCCCGGTGGTGTCACCAGGAGGCAGGGCGGCCTCTGATGACGGCGGTGCAGACAGACACGGGAAGAACGGCCTTTGACTGTGTTTTCAGGATTAAACAGCTCACTCTCCGAGCCTCAGCAATACAAGCAGTGAGCGTGTCGTTCTCCAGGTTTACCTGAGTGGGCGCCCGGAAAGCCCCAGGACAGAACGGCCGTTTGGGAAGAGCGTGTGGGGAGTGGCCTCCAGAAATCTTCCGGGTTGGTGGGGGTGGGGTAGTTTAACCAGAACGTGCCCTCCCTCTGACCCTGCCCTGGCCCAGTTCATCAAGTCGGCACAGTCCACGGTCTGGACAGCCTCTCCCTGCCACACACAAAGATCTCGGCGGAGCCGGGCACGTGCCAGCTGCACCGCCTGCTCCGTCACCTGCTCTTTAATTGGGGAGCCCGGCTTCCAGGGCTTATGGCAGCGCCCCCGCCGCCTGCTCCCCCATCTCGCCCAGCCCGGCTGCAGCAGTGTGTGTGCCTAATTGATTAAATGGATGATTGATTATCGGGCTGAGCCATTAATTCTCCAGACCCGTGTCTGCTTGGAGTGGTGGCGTGCAGCAGGCATCCGGGACCACCCGGCCCCAGACCCTGGGACTGATGCAGGTGCTCATCCGCCATGGGTTTTCTGTCCTGAAGGGAGCGTCCTTCCAGCAGGCCACTGTCAGATGCAGCTGAGCAGGACACACATTCCCAGTGTCCCCCATGGAGCCCCATTCATCCCACCCTCCCTGCAGCCCAGCTGGTGCCCTCCCAGCCCCAGACGGTTCAGAGCCCATCCTGTGTCAAGCCACCACCTCAGGGAAGAATGCCCTTCACCCATCCTTCCTGAATCCCCCGTCCTGGAGTGAAACCAAGGTCAATATTGGGATTGGGCCCAGACCTGCAGCCCTCACTGTCCCAGGTGTCACCTCCACTGTCTGTGCTGCCCCGAGTCCCAGATTCTACTCTTACTGATCTACACAGACTTTCAGTGGATGAGAAAGTCCTGCTCTCAGCGACAGTCCACAGAAAACAGGCAGTGATAATCTGTCCCCTGATGGAAACACTGTCCTGTGAGGGAACGCGGTTCCACAGTGACAGTTCCATCGTGGAGCAGGAGTGAAGGTTCTGGTGAGGCCCAGCCTGGGGCCTGCCGGTGGGTGGGAAGCAGCCACTTTCCTCCTGTCGATGAGGGGGACAACGACTTGGTACTGGAGCTGCGGAGTCAGTGCCCCCAGCCTGAGCTTTGTTCCTCAGGCCGGTCTAGGATGACGGTTCCCAGGAAGCCCGTGAATCTCGGCCATCACGCCCCCCATCCGGACAGGAGAAAGCTCGGGAGAAACGAGCCTCCACTCGGCCCACCCAGCAGCACGAGGGCCTCCATCCCGTGTAGCCTGGGGGCCGAGCATCGAGTCAGAAGAGCGGAGGGGGCATGTCTGACTATCGCTCGTGTGCCTGAGGCCCCGATGCCTGGACACGGGCGTGGTCCTCTCTCCAGGGGAGCGTCCGCAGACTGTGCTTCTGGCATCTTTCTTGATTCGTCCTCAAATTTCCAGTTTGTGTTTCTTTGAAGTGAAGCAATTACAAAGCTATCTGAATGCAGAAGCGTCCGTGTTTCTACAGGTTTCCCCTCTGTCTTTCATGGTGGACTCAACCATGGCGAATTTGGAAGCTATGTTTATAGCAGCTCGACTTTATCAATCTCTCCAAAGCCTTTAACTCAACTTTCATAAAGCTTCTGTTCTTTCTCTGGTGACCCAGCCTACATGGGCTTGCCAAACACCGAAAAATCACGTCATTGCAGGTAAACGGTCCTGGGCAGGTTTGGGACCAAACACGCTGCTCCTGGTTGCAAATCAGCGGGGGAGCAGCTGTGGTCAGGGAGCTGGGCCACCAGGGCCTCACAGAAGGTAGACCAGACGTCCACCGCCTAGAGAGGGGTCAGAGAGATGTGAGCATCTTCACAGCAGGAGAGCACATCTGAGATGAAATGTGCAGTCCAGTCCTTTTGCTGCAGGTGAGCAACAAGGGTGGCCTCCTCCGGGGTGGCCAGCCCAGTGACTCTGGGCCACTGGCTCCGTGGGCAGGCCCGAGGCTCTGCTATGAGAAGGCCGGTCAGGGTCGTGGGAGCCCCGGGCACAGGTTGGGCCCTCCCTGGTAACGCCCAGCGGCCCTGGGCTGACAGTCTCCCACGGCCGCGGGAGAGCAGGCATCCGGGAAGAGATGCGTCCGACGGGGTCACAAACTCAGGCTGAGAAGCGTGTGTTACCTCTGCCACATGGTGGCTGACGGTCAAGTCGAGTCCGGAGACCACGGGGTTTCCCTAGGAGTGGAAAGGAAGCCAGAACCCCTCCGCTCCTAAATTCCTTGAGGAGAATTGCACACTTTTGATATTTACCTTATTTGGGCTTTTTAAAGCTGAAAACACATTTCAATTTAAAAATTATGTAATAATGTATGCGTTCAATGCACACATCACGTGTTAGTACAGACAAGTAAACGCCACACTGGAGATGATAAGCCCTTCCCGTCCAATGCTCACGTGGGAGCACGATCTTGCCTGCAGCCCCCAGGCCCTGGCAGCTTCGCTGAGCAGCGTGCCTCAGGACACATCCGTTCCAGGGCCTCTGGGAGGGGGCCTCCCCGCCGGGCAAGCCACCTTTCTGAAGCCTCACGGCCTTTCCAAAGCTCCCCGCCCAAAACACGCCCCATGTCAGGCGCTGAGCTGAGCATCAGGCAACATCCAAAGAGCAAGCGTCCCCCAGGAAGCAAAGTACCTCTGGCGCAAGCAAGTGCCTCTGAGACTAACACCGGCCCCAGGCTGTCCCCCAGGCGGCCACCTGTCCTTCCGGGCCCAGCCGGGCCGATGACCCAACTGGGCATGGCACTGAGGGACCAGTGTTGTGGCCATTCGGGGCAGGCCGTGCGGACCCACAGGCTGGCCCTGGGCAGAGGCCCTCAGACACGCTCTCCTGGAATGGCTTCTGGGTTTGGACAGAGGTTTTCTGGAAGGGAAACCAAGCCAGGGAACCATTCTGCTGGCAGTCCTCCCACGTCACGGCTCAGGCCGAGGGGACAAGACTCTCTGGGAAGGGCTGGGGCAGCCGGCGGGGCAGAGCTGCCTCTGGCCCCGGGCGGCGAGAGGACAGACCTGCAGAGGAGCAGGCAGCATGGACCTGGCCGGGAAGGGCAGGACTGGCCAGCGTGGGTCTCATTAGCCCCCTGTGGAGAGCCGACCTAACAGTGGGCTGGCCTCCTACTGCCTGACCCCTGCCTCTGGTTCATTCTTCCACAGATTAATTCCCCAAATTGACGGATTACAGTGCCCGCTGTGCCCAGGGTGGCTCAGTCACACTGGGTTCTGGTCAGTGTCAACCAGGGTTTTACCCAGACCGGGGGAGCGGCGGGGGCGGAGGCGCTCAAACACGCAGCAGGTGCAGCTCTGCCCCGCGGGGCTGCGTGGAGAGGCTGCTCGCGGAACTGACGGAACGGCAGCACGGCAGGGACCAGGGGTGCGGAAGCCCTCCGGACGCCTTCCAGGAGAAGCTCTGCTTTCAGATGAGGGAGCTGTGCCCAGAGCAACAGCTCACAATTGTGTAATGCATATTTCGCAAAAATACTTTTTGTGTCCACCCGTACATCCGTCCAGCTTGTGAGCTCTGAAACCCTCATGTAGCAGGTGGGCAAAAATCACCGCCTTCCCTTTCTTCAGTGAAAACCGGAGATGAGGAGCAGCGTCACCACCAGCTCGGGGTGAGGCGCCGTCACGCCTCCTCCCCAGCCCAACCCGCCTGTTAGAGGGCGTCTCGTGCAGGGCGCCAGGGACTAATGACGAGTGTGCCAATTTGGTATGAACAGCAAACCAGTTAAAGACTTTACACTGAGCGCTTCTACGTGCCAAGAGCTGTGGGGGATCAAGGTCGGGGGACCAGGCTCCTCTCGACCGGACTGGAGATGCTGACCCGAGAAACTCTGGCCATCCACAGCGGGAAAGTCCCAACAGGCAGCCTCTGCAGGAGGGCCTCTGGAAACCCCGCCTGGGCATGGTGACTGCAGTCCTGAGCTGAAGCCTGCTTCGCCAGAATCCATGTCGCTCCACAACACCTCAGCCAGCAGCCCTTGCTCCTGCCAGAGAAGCAGAAAGATGGAAAAACAAGGACAGACTGGTCACAAGGTCGGCAGGACCCAAGAGCCAGGCTTCCTATGAGGAAGGCAGCAGGTGGCCACCTGGTCCCCACCCACTCGTCTGCCTAAGCGAGCAGCCACCCCCTCCGACCTCAGCACACGGCAGGGGCACCGGCTGGGCTCCAAGGCTAGGGTGCCGGTGGCCTGGGTGAGGGCCTGGGCGCCAGGATCGCGAGTGTTCCTTGTGTCTCCGAGGTGCAGCAGGGCTGGACACCACCAGTGAAGCAGAACAAGCGGCCATGCAGCCCTGGGCACGACGTGTGTGCCCACGAGGTGACGGCACCTGTGAGAGGTGGCGGGGCAGGGCTCGGGCGCAGCCAGGCCCAGACACCAGACGAAGCGCTTTAAACACAGAACCCTGAGATGGCCTGAGACGCCGCTGTTACCCCAGCTGCAGGTGTGAGCGCTGGGGCCGAGCTCAGGGCTGGCGTGGGGCCGCCCCGCGGTGGACAGTCCAGCCAGACTGGAGTCCCGACTCCCTTGACCCCGAGCCTAGGCTCCTGCCTTGGTGCTGCGCCACCTCCCCAGGTAGCCATGAGGGCTGAGCCTCCAGTCACAAACCTCCTTTAGTCTTTTCATTCTGCACGAATTCTGGTCTAACAGGCAAATTGTTTTTGCCTGATCTCCATGTCTGTTAATTACACTGTTCCGTCAGTGGTGCGTGTGTAAGTTTGTGCATGGATGTTTATATTCATACATGCACGTTCATGCATATTTCTGGCAAGGCCAGTCATAAAAGTTGCTTCTCCAGGCAACAGAAAGATCGGGTCAGTGCAAAGTTGTCTGAGCGCTGCTTTGAAGACCACTAATTGAATCTGTTGTTTGCACAGCCACGTGCAAGGCCTCCCAGTCTCGGAACATGAGCCCACAAACAGTCTGGCACCAGCTGCCTCCAGCCTGAATCTGCTCCACCAAAGGAGGCTTTAGGTACCCTCTCCCTTCACAAATTTTCCTTTTTCACAACAGCATCCTTGGCTCAGAGCTGCCGAAGGTGGGTAAGAAAGGAGCAGTGAGGAGCTGGCTTGGAGAATGATGAGAACGAGAATGGGGCCTGGGGTGTGGGGCCCTGACTCAGGCAGAGCCGCGAGAAGCAGTCCCATCAGGGAGACCACCTTTCCTGCGGCAGGACCAGAACACGGGGTCCAGCCGGCCCCTCTACCCACTCCGGCTAGAGTCTTGCACACATGCACACCGGGTCCCCAGGTTCCACGGGTCGGGGCCAAGCTCTGCCGGCAGCACACAGTGGCAGCCCCCCCACGATGCGCTCCTGCATCCTCCTGGGAGCCCAGCCCTGCCAGGCACGTGGAGCGAGGGGGCACGTGCACCATCAGGTTTCATGATCGGATGTGTCTCCCTCCTGCTGGGTGGTGATCCCCACGGCTCCACACTGACAGCATGGTTCCTGGGGTGACAGACTAAGGCCCTGTCCGAGGATGGCCATGTCTGGAACCTGCAAGTGTGTCGTGTTACCTGGAAAGGGGGTACAGGTTGCTAGTCCTGAAAACTCAGCCCGATGCTACTGGCCCAGAAGATGCAGGAGGGGTTCAGGAGCAGAGGGACTCGGGGCCCTCAGGACTGGAAATGGCCCAGGACGGATGTGGATTCTCCTCGGAGCCTCCAGTGGGAACCAGCCCCCTCACACTTTGATTTTAGCCCAGCGAGACCAGTGTCAGGACTCAACCTTAAGAACTATAAGAGAATAATTTGTGTTTAAGATATGAAGTTTGTGCTAATTTGTTGTGCTAACAATAATTCACGAATTCAGCCTTCACTCCGAGAGGCTCAGAACAAGGAAGGTGTGTGAACCCGGAGAGACGTGTGTTCCCCGCAGTCACTCCCCGAGTTTCCTTTCCTTGTGCTGACTCTACAGAATGATCTGGGGTGAGGTCAGCCTTCAAGGTCAGTGCCATGCCCCACCTCGTGGGGTCAGGATTGACAGGGGGACTCCAGGACCCTCATCAGGACCAGCAGCCGAACGGGGTCAAGATAAAGAGGTCTGCAAACTCGGCCCCACTGAGAGAGTCGGGCCAGCCCCCCTTTCAGTCCTCAGTTCCCCTGCTCGTGGGATGGGGGAAGGAGTCACGGAGGACACCCCGGGCTCCCCAGGCACCTGGAGCCGTGGTCCCAGCGACCTTCACAGAGGGAACCAGAGCTGCCTTTCTGCCTCAGCTCCACTGGCAGCCCTCACAGGTCTATGAAGGGCTTCTGGAAACCTGGGTGTGGGGAGCAGAGAAGGGCCCCTGAGATGCAGGCTCCCTCTCCCTTCTCTCCACGTGCCCCCACCCAGCAGCCCCAGGCCAGCACGACTGGGCGGGACCTTCTGCAGGTTGGAGTCGGCCATCCAGCCTGGACCCTCCGCCTGGACACCACGCTGAGCCTCCTCTGACCAGGACTGTGCACACACCCCCACTCGCCAGTGCACGCACATAGGCGCGTGCCCAGATGCATGCGTGCACGCACACCTATGCACACGCGCCGCCGCCCCCACCCTGTGGGCTCACTGGCTGGGCCCCATGAGGACGGGTCTGGAAGTCCCTCCGGGAACACCGCCCACTCCCGTGTTCCCGCTCCCGTCCGTGGCTAATCCCACTTGCTGTAAACTCCGAAGTCGTCGGTTCCCCTGACGTGCCCCCCAGGAGGAAGGACAGTCTCTCAGGCTCACGGCCAGCTGCTGGGGGGAGGGGCAGAACAGGAAGCTGGGTCACTTCACTCCACTGGATGGTGGCTGAGGAGAGCGCTCATTGCCCCGAGAGCCTGGGACCCAGGATGCGTCTGCTCCGCCCAGAGCTTCACACACCAGCCGCCTGGAGCAGGCCTCCGGGAGGTGGCCTGGGGGCACAGTCCTGGGTGTCTGCACTGAGGCCCCCGGGCAGCCCGCCCCCTTCCCCCAGAGCACAGCCGAGTCCACCCGCAGGCACCCGGCTGTGCCCTGGCCTCTCCGTTCCCCACCGGAAAACTGAATTCAAAGGAGTATGGTGAACTCCGGTGACAAGGAGGCTGGCGGAAGTGGCCCAGGACTTGAGGCTGCGGGAGGTGGGGTGCGCTCTCCAAGCCCCAGGCAGTCACCACCTGAGGCAGCCCAGAGGCAGACAACAGGCCCCAGGAGCTCCCGCCACCAAGGGCTTGGACCCACGGGCCTGGGTCACAGAGCAGCTAGCACCGCGGTCCAGGGTGGGCACAGTGTCTCTGAGGCTGGGCTCCACTGACCACAAAACCTGGAGTGTCCGCGGCCCTAGAATCATCAGGGAAGTGTCACTGGGCATCTCTGTGGAGGCTCCCTCCCCTCAGGAGCTGAGGTTGGCTCCTGACCTGGCCCGATAACCGGAGACGGCTGGCTAAGGCCTCACTGTGGCACAGCCATCGAGTGTCTGTCCTGTAGAAGGCCACACGCCTGCAGAAACGGCGGGACTCTGATGCAGTGGGCCCACCTTGCAGGTGAGGGGACAGGGCTGCCGGGCACACGGACAGGATATGGGCCCAGCGTCCCCAGGGACTGTGCCTCAGTTTACTGGCCTCACCACCCAGGAAACGGGGCTTCGCAGATGCCCAGAATGTCATCCTGAGGACACTCAGAGCTGGGCGCCGCACAGAACACGGCACGCCTGCAACATACATCAGCTGTCGCTGTCTCCCCGCCACAGCACTCCTGCCACGGGTCGCCAGCGGCTGGGGTCTCTGCCCTCCACTAGGGGAGCTGGACTCCCCTCTCCCTGCACTTTGAGGAGCCATCGCCTGCACCCACACTCACACCCGCCCGTGTGTGGCGGGTCCCTCCCCCGTCTGACAGCCCCTCGGGGCCTCCACAGAGGGGCTCTTCCCGCAGCAGCAGCACCTGGGCCTGGAGGTGCGCAGCCCACGGTGCAGGCAGGATGGTGCGTTACCTGCGCAGCTCGGCTGGGCGAACGGAAAGGACGGGTCTCAGGCTGGGGTCCTCAGCCACCTGCTCACACCTCTGCTCTCCAGCCTAGAAGGAGAAACTCGCCCAGCTGCGGCCCCACCAAGAGACCTGTGTGCTGGGCGTTCCGCCCACGCCCACCCCTGAAGGACGGAGGCTGGCCTTCGCTGGCTGCCCGCAAGCAAACACAGTGGCCGAAGGTCTCTGGAGGGACGGAGGGCACCCGCTGTAACCCTGTCGACTGGATCCTGTGCACGGGGCTGTCCCCTCAATGCCTGCTGGCTGACACCTAGAAGTGCCCCAACGTACAGAGAGGCCTCCCCTCACTTCCTTGCCTCTCAGTCCAGGACGAGGGTCTCAGAACTTCCAAGCACAGCCCCCTTGGGGGGTCCGTGGGCCCGGGAAGTGCTGGCCGCAGACAGGGACATGCTTGTTAGGATGGTCCTGGGTGGTCTCCGAGCTACCCTCTGCCCAGACTGCCATGGAGCTGAATGCTCATTATCTGCAGGACCCTCTGTCAGGCCGGAGAAAGGGAGAGATGCGGCTCCAAAGAGAAGCAACCTCAGGTCGGCAAACGCACTGCCGCTGCTCAGGGAGCAGGAGACACGCGGACAGAGGCCAGGGGTGGAGGCAGCTCCAGGCACACTCCGTGGACAGAGAGGAGATGGGCGGCTGGCAGTCCATGCTGAAGGCAGGACAGTGTGGCAAAATTTGAGATAACATTTGGAGATATTTTATCCTCAAATTTTCATATTTCTTTTGAAACTTTAGGGTGACAATTTCATGCTGTCTTTTCAGAGAATAAGAGAAATTCTGAAAGTAAATAGGAGTGAGTTTCCGAGGATGACGACCCCAGGCTGATGTTTTACTCCATAGATGACATTAGAAACTGCAAAAGTGGCTTCCTTTGTGCAGAGTGAGTGGGAAGAGCGTGAGGAAGTGGCGGTGGTTAACCCTCACGATCTCAGGAGTCCAGCCAGGAAACGTGAAGCTCCCTCCAACCTCAAAGGCCTGGTGCTGCCAGGGCCCAGCGCCGTGGGCAGTGCCCGCTTCAGCTGCACACGTCTGCTCTGGGGCAGGTCGTTGGGCACCGGCCAAACTCTGCAGAGAGACCTCGGAGCGAGCATTTAGGAGGCCAGGCTGGACCAGCGCCAGTGTCTGTGGCCAGTGGGCCTCCCCCATTCCTTCCCATCCATCCTACTCCGTCATGTCCTCCTGTGCCGGCCTGCCCTCGGACCCCAGGACTGAAGAGACCCCTGAGTGTGTCCTGGGTCTGCCATCTGGACGGCCTGTGCCGTCCAGACCTCACCCCCCCGTCCCTGGCCGCTGCAGAGGCTGCATGTCCCGGGACCCGGGCCTTTGGGATGTTAGGTGCTTGGAGCTTCTGGCACCCCAGGAACAGAGTCCTGGGGACAGAGCCGGGAGCCAGCATGTTGGCTTAGAGGCTGAGAGGCCAGGGAAACGTGTCCCACTGCTCCCAGCCCCACGCGTTCTCCCCCCCCGTGCCCGGAAAGGGCCTCCTCCCTGCTCTGCCCAGCGTTCCCACAGGGGAGCCCCCGGCAACAAGCTAAGGAAGCGAATAAAGGAGCTCAGAAGGTCCCTCTGAGAGGAGGCGGGAGGCTCACGAGGCTCTCACTGTGCGTAGGCCCTCAGCACACATCTGGCTCTTGGATGGCCTCTCAGGCAGGGATGCTGGGCGGGAGGGACCGCAGCCTCCAAAGCCTACAGACGGAAGGCCAGGGAAGGCTCAGACACCTCTGTGCTCCTGGAGCACTCAGAGACCCTGCTCAGTAGGCTTCACTTCTCGAAACACAAAACCGAAGGGGATGGTTCCTGCAGTCACAGCTTTGCTCCCTGCAGGCCCCCACACATGGCCCCCCATGTGGCCCCCATGGCCCGGGCAGGGTAAGCAGCACTGACAGACAGGATGGTCCTGGAACACCCTTGCCAGACCCAGGGTCCACAGAGCGCCCCAGGAGACTCCCACGCTCCCGTGGGGACCTGCGCCGCCCAGCCTCCCGCGTGAGGCAGAACCAGGACGTTTTCTGACAGACCCCCAGGGAGGCTCCTTGCCACGTGCCCTGGCGTCGGGTCACAGTTCTTACTGCAGCTCTCCCACTGCCAGACTCCAAGCCCGAGTCGGTGGGAGAGGAGGGGGTCCCTGCCTCTCTCTCCTGCCCGGCGTCCCCTCCTCGCAGACTGGAGCTGCCCAGGGCACCTGCACCGAGAGTGTCCCAGACACAGGGGGGGCAGCTGTGCACCCGTGGTCCAGTGGTAGCTCTCCGTCTGAGACCCCATACTCAGCAGCCAGGCCTCTGCTGTCCCCCAGGACTTTCTGGGGCTCCCGACCAGATGCCCCAGCCCCGCCCGGCTCACTTCAGCCCTCCTGCAGTCTGGCTGGTGCTGACTGGCGCTCCACTTCTTCCTGGGGATGGAGCACCCGAGGGGCGCGTGGCTGCCCGTGTCCTCATCCATCCTCAGCCTCCCCATGCCTTGAAACTGCCTTTATTCTCAGCCTGAGGTGATGCTCAGGCCCAGTGTTTGGTCCCTGCTGCTCCTGAGCCCACAGCCCCTAGAAAATGCTCAAGACGTGTCCGCCATTAGGACCCTCTGCTTCCCGCGGGGCCTGCTTTTCCTCATGGACACTCAAGCATGCATCTACCATGATGGGTCCACACCAGAAATGCTCTCAGGGCTTGTTAGAAGCAAATCTGCCTAACCCAGTATTGGGACCAGACACCAGGGGTAACTCAGAACCCTGACCAGACACCAGGGGTAACTCAGAACCCTGACCAGAGCACCAGGGGTAACTCAGAACCCTGACCAGAGCACCAGGGGTAACTCAGCACCCTGACCAGAGCACCAGGGGTAACTCAGCACCCTGACCAGAGCACCATGGGTAACTCAGAACCCTGACCAGAGCACCACGGGTGGCTCAGCACCCTGACCACACACCAGGGGTGACTCAGCACCCTGACCAGAGCACCAGGGGTACTCAGAACCCTGACAACACACCAGGGTTGACTCAGCGTCCTGACCAGAGCACCAGGGGTAACTCAACGTCCTGACCAGAGACCAGGGGTAACTCAGCACCCGGACCACTCATCAGGGGTAACTCAGCACCCTGACCAGACACCAGGGGTCACTCAGCGTCCTGACCAGACACCAGGGGTAACTCAGCACCCTGACCAGATACCAGGGGTAACTCAGCGTCCTGACCAGACACCAGGGGTAACTCATCGTCCTGACCAAAGCACCAAATAGTTTATCCATCACAAAGGTGACCCATCACTAAGGGGTCACAGATGTAGCACTGTAAGAACCTGTGTCAGTCATTGGTTCTCCTGGCAGGGACCTGCTGTTGTGTGAGGGAAGTGGTGTCCAACCGGATCCAGCACTCAGGGCCCGTCCTCCCCTGAGGGGGATGTGACAGAGGGCCTGTTCCTGCCCTGAATCAGCCATGCCTGTTTCTCATGGGAGTCGTGGCACTGTGCCCGGGAGGGTGGGCTGCCTGACCCCAGGTTGCCCCAGGGCATTAGCTAGGAGAAGGGTACCCTGCACACACTTCCGTCCTCTGCTTTCCAAAAGCCATGACTCCAGCTTATTTGGGGCAGAGCTAAAATACCCAGTTTTCCTCCAGAGCAACCGAGAGGCCTGAGGGAGGGAAAACGGACCAGGTGAGGACCACGAACGGAAAGCAAAGTCTGAGAAGGAGCCCTGCAGACGCAGCAGACGGGCCTGGGCTCCGGGCGGCTCTGGGCACAGGAGAGGCTTGGGCAAGTGGAGCAGGGGCCTCACTGAGGCCGCAAGGCCGGGCAAGGGGACATGGGCTGAGCCACGGCACTCACATTTCCGTGTCGAGGTGAGCCCCTGGCGGGGGAGCCTCCCTAGAGCCCCCACCTCCCGGTGTCGTAGGACTCGTCTCCCAGACCCGGGTTGGACCCCAGCCCAGCTGACAGTGTTCAGTGACAGAACCAGGGTGCAGGTGCCCTGCTGCAGAGGCGAGCAGTGAACCTGCTGAGAGGCCCGGCCGTCACCAGAGCAGTGCCGGGCTGTGAACACCGGGTCCCCCAGGTCCCAGAAGCAGTGAGAGTGCCTGGAGAGCTCCGTGCACCCACCCCTCCACTCACGTGGGCTGACTCTGAGCTGCTCTGACACCTGCACCGAAGGCCAGGGCTCACAGAGGACGGAGAAGTTCAGACACAGGCCCAGCTCCTGAAGCTTCCCCAGGGCCGGAGGTGTGGGCACCACCGTGGCATCCAGACTCTCACCTGGCGGAGTCAGGTGGACCAGTGCTCGCACGGAAGCCCCATGCAGCCCTCAGCGGCCGCTCTGGGCCCAGGACCCTGGGCCCCGGCTCCCATGGCCTCTGTCTGTCTCGGCTTAGATGGTAGAGCTTCTGTTCTCTGGGAGCCGTGACTTCTCCACGTGCTCTGGGCCTCACGTCTGCTAAAGAGCTGCAGACAGACTTGGGCCCTCGTGCTGGGGAGAGCAGGGAGGAGTGGGACTGTGGGTGCAAACCCTCTGCTCATCCGGCCCAGCCTCCTCCTTGGCAAAGGCAGCCCCCCGCCCCCTCTCCGCTGCTCCTTCCCCTCCTTCAGGGGAAACAGAAACAGCCAAGGCCCCCCTGCTCACAGCAAGGTCAGCCTGGAGTCCCCTCTGGGCAGTCTCAGGCATATGCAGTCCTTCAGGCCGGAGTCTGGAGGCCCAGCCTCCCCAGTGGCCACGAGGGCAAGGTCGCCTCCCCCCTTACGGCCACTTCCCCCACAGGCACTGGTTTGACTCTCGAACTGCTTTTGTGCTG